GATAGCAAAATTAGATACATGAAGTGGGCAGTATATTGATTAGGTTGTTCATAGTATCCCAAAGCAATCTGTCATTCGGCAGAAGAAAGCTAAGAACGGTTTCATCACAGTTGCAGTACTTTGAGCAAATGTTTACTTCATGGCACTCGTCATTCCGTTTCTGATGAGACCACTTTATTAACTAACTTTTCCTTTGAAATGAAATTTAATTACGCAAAATTATACGCTTTCTCAGTCTTTGAAGCCTCATGGGCCTCATCACAACGAAGACAACCACAAAATTGTAGAGTTTAAATAAAATTCATGTGACTGCCATCTTTCATCGTTACTTGCAAAAAGCACACCTGTTAATGTCATAAAAGTCAAGAATGGATATTGGTTGTCCGACCCCAAATCTACAGCGACAGTACCTAATTCTATGAATATGCACGAATACCTTGTAACTGTGGCACTCTTTCCGTTGCTTTGCCGACTTGGGTTATCATTCGTGGCATCGAGTAATTATGCTTCATGATTGTCTGTGCTATTCTAGCCACAGTTTTACGTGTCATCACATCCTAGAAGGCAAGCTATGACCTGCTTTAACCATCTGAAATATTGCGGTTTTCCCATTTGTCACTCCCAGCCTAAATGGATGATGGTTTATTGGCACGAATCCTCTTTGATCCCAGCCCTGTTTTTAACATGTTACCTTTCTCGGGAGATGGTTTTTCCCGACGCACCATCGTCATTCTGGCGACCTTCCTCCCATGCGAATGAGCAAGAACATCAGCTTAGCTATAATAAGAGCAATTCCGATAGCATGTTAACTAATATTGCAATAAATTATGTTGTTGTAGTTTAGTAATTATTGAAATTCCATGCTCGCGTATCTAAAGAAGACTTCACGCAGTTTTAGTCGGTTGTCTATATTGTTTTTTTCCAGTATTCTAGCAGGAGCCAGCCTATCCGGTGTTGATAAACACCACGGCGATTGTGTGCGAGTCTGTGCACAAATGTGTCTCTTTTCATGTCTCGACTATGATGAAAGACCAGAGTCGTTCTCCCTCTGCAATAAATTCTGCCGACATATAAACAAACGAAAGACCCGATCTGTCCGACCAACTGGGAACTCGTCCGGTTCCTTTTTGTTAGTCATTATGAGTTGGGATGTACAGCCCTGCCTGGCCTTTGATGAAGCCTACTCCCTTTTTTGCCGGCAATTCGGCGGACAGGGGTGGCTTAGGTACAACCTCGTCCTCGGGGTGCACATTTGCACTCACAGACACGCACAGACCATGCTGAACAATACATAATGGATTCAATTTGCTTGTCACCCTTAATGGGGAAGACGAAGATGGCCGGATGTCCTGTGCTATAAACAAGAGGAGAAGGAGTAACTTTGCCACTTGGTGCTTTCTGTCTCGTCTCCCGATCGCCCCCTCGCGTCCTATCGGCACCTCCAACCCTCGTACGCAGCATATACGGCCATAGTTATTTATTTACTTGGGCTAGCGTGATTATTTTGCCCTCCATGCGAGAGGATCCAAGCCGATCAACTGGTTGCGAGTGGAACGGCGCGTGTCGCGAGAAGTTGGCCAGGCACTGTTTATGGGTCAGAAACCCGAGGCAGATAATCGGATTCGACCTTGAGGCAGATGAGCGGGGGGTAAAATGGGGTGTTGTTCGAGTCGAATGAGAGCATAGAAGGCGATTAGAGGCCGCAGAAGCGTCTGACTTTGTCGGACCTCTACGTCGAATAGAAGCAGCAAAGCGCTAAGGCCTAATCCGACCTACAGGCGAGCTGGTAGGGTGGGAAAAAGCGACACGCGTGCCCTGTTAGGACACAGCAACGCGTGTATCTACACGCAACCCCCTTGGTCATATATAGACAGCAAGTTGGCTCTCCAAATGTTCGTATGCACACATTAGTGCCCGATTGGACAGACAGGCCTGAATTCTCCTACATTTGATTATAGCATGCATACACAAACATACATATACAAATATATAAACACATATGCAGACATGTGAATGAGGCTGATTAGGACTCTTCTCCAAGGATTTGGCCGTATCGGAATGACCCGTGAACCGGCATACTGACAGGACTGCATGCACACACGCACATTCATGCATGCATGCATACACGCACAGGCATAGCCGAAATAACCAATCCAATTAAGCATACATTTTGTTATGACGACTAATGTCATGTCGCCTATTCTGTGGCTAAGAGACTTAATAATCCTTATTATTAGTGCTAGTTGTATTTCTAATTAAATCAGATAGATGATGCGCTTTGCTGTCCTGCATTGCAACACAAACACTTATTTCGGTCAATCATAATATTAATACTATAATATAGAATAATTATATAATAATAATAACGATATTATTATTAAGTATACTTTATTAATAGTACTAATGTCTTTGCTGGTGATACAAATAATAGACGTCGTGATAGCGGTGGTGAGGATGACAATAAACTGGTCTCCAATCTCGGAAGGGATCTATTCTGGGGAACAGATCAAGGGGACGCCGGCAGTAAGTGGGGCCCGTCGAGGTGGGAAAGGGCACATGGGAGTGTGCTCGACACAACGTCGGGCTCTCGTAAAGCATGCCCACTGTGGAGCTGCGCAGATAGGCCATGTAGACTGGCAGTCGTATTCGCATTAACAACTAACCGTTCTGTCATCGGGTCCGTCCCTTTTTCACTCTTAGTCCGTGTAATTGTGGGCACACGTGACCGATTAAGTCCTGCTGTTCGACATGTCGACTTGGTCAACTTGTGATCCCGAATCGTCTGCTTCCAGGCCGACAGAACGTATGGCGTCCTCTGTCAGCTTGATGGCTCTCATCACATACTCGACCGGACGAGTTGGCCTGTTTGTATTTGAGTGGGCCTGAGATTTGTTGACTCGTAGAAAATGGGGCAGAATGTAGCGGAGCGAATGCGAACAGAGATTGAGTTTGGAGAGCTGTCCATGTCAATATCAGTTAGGACCGGGATTTAGTAACTTACAGAAAGCATTGACAATTCGCTCTTATCGCCTCGCCTAGTCTCACTGGCTCGCTCTGATACAGTTTCAGCTGATGGATTTGATGATTATCTAATCCCTAAAGCCTCGTTTTCAAGACGTACCTGCGATGCTGCGTCCGCCTTTTCGGTGTAACGATTATAAATTTCTAATACATGTATGAAGCGATTTCCTAACCATTTTACAAGTTGAAACAATTTGCATACAAAGTATGGATGTATCCACACCATTTTGTTCAAGTTGATGAAGGACCGGTAGTTGAATTTTGCCACAATGATATGCGTAGAGTGAGATCGAAACGGCAGTCGATCCTGAATGAAAACGCATTTTGGGAAAGCAAGGTTATGTGAAATTCAATGGAAACGTCAGATCTACTCATATCAGTGGGGAAATTAAACTAACAGTCCTTCATCACCTTAAACCAGTGGTTCCCAAACGTCTACAAGTCGCGGCGCCCTTTTTCAATTAAAATTTTTCCATGGCGCCCTACCCTAAGTATGACTATTCGTAAGTAAGAGATAAAAATAAAAAAAAATCGTGTATATTCATTAACTTTTTTACTTTATTGACATTAAATTAATATTTAATAATTAATGTGATGGATGAGCCTGCAAATCAATGCACATTTTCTCAAATTGAAGATTCTACAATATTTCGCAGCGCCCATGTAAAGAGGCCGCGGCTCCCCGTGGCGCCGCGGAGCACAGTTTGTGAATCACTGCTTTAAACTGACTTACTTGTATGGTTGGGGGGACTTTTATATCGTGTGAAAGTGTATGAAGAAGAGATTCATAGGTCGATCTCACCAGAAGAGGACGGACGAATGTCGTTGTACTGAAGCCGTTTGGCTTTTATACGACGTTCAGGTTGACTCAGTCAACGAGACCTCCTCCCTCGTTTTCGGTGAAAAGGGACTGAGCTTTCGTCCATCATACGATGGACATCATCAGAGCTGGGTCTCATTCCTGTAAAAGTCTCACGTTAACACTAGGGCAAGAAGACTATCCGACTCAATCTTACCTCTTATATAAAGTCAATTATGCTAAAAGAAAATAAAAAAAACCCAGATAGATAGATGTAGAATGGTTTGACTAATTATCTTTCATACTGGTTCTGCTACTTTTGCTCAAGTCTGTTCGTGTGTATATGTGTGTGTCTTAGCGTATATATGCAATACCGGTCCTAAAACAGAGTTATCAAAAGGCTAATGTCAGGCTCTGATAATTAAGGCTTAATGACCCAAGAGAAGGCCCTGACCAAGTCTGCATAAGTCTATATCTATCTAGGATTTTAATTTTCTTTTGCTAAATTTAGTCTCTAAAAAGGTAAGATAGAGCCGGATAGTGTTCTTGGCCTAGTGCTAACGTGAGAATATTACAAGAATGAGACCCAGCTCTGATGATGTCCATCATATGACGGACGAAAGCTCAACCCGTTTTCATCCGAAACGTGGAAGGAGGTTTCGTGGACTGCAGTACAACGGTATTTAATCGTCCTCTTCTGGTGAGATCGGCCTACGAATCTCTTATTCATGCACTTACATTCAGAATGAAAGTCCCCCAGCAATGTTATCTTAAGAAAGTCATCAAAACCCAGTTTCTATTCGTATCTATGACTTACTAGTAGCTTTTAAACCCTACTTATGAAATGGAAAATACATATTATTAGCTTGTCAACGTAAAGCCTTTTTACAGTTGACAAAAATCTATTATGGGAAAAGAACATATAATAACAGTAATTCATCTGGACCGCATTAGGTGACGAAGGCTTGGTAATTCAATTTTTCT